GGGTTTTGCACAAATTGTTCCTTCACAGATTCAGCCGAGCGAAGGTAATTGAAAAACAGAAGGTTCTGTCAATTTAGTAGCGTTAACCAGAGGATTGTGGAAGGATGGTTTGGGTTCGAATTGTTGGTGTTTGAAATCAGTTGGGAAAGATTTAAAGACCAGAGGGTTGTTCAAAGGTGGTGCCGTAATCAGAGGTTTAATCATCACATTCGAAGGACTTGATTCATCTTAAATAAAGGGAAGAGAATGCATAGGCTCAACATCAACATTTGGGATTGAATGTTTGAATTCTATTGCTTCTCTTGTAAAAATAATTTGCAACAGGTTATATAAACAGGTTTCAATGCTATTTTAGAATTGAGGGCAGACGTACCCCGAGCGAGGACGACAGGGGAACCACCTCAACATATTGATGTTCTCTCTTTTTACTATTTTCATTGCTGAATTTTGTGTTTGTGTGCAAACATATTAGTAGACTAAAATTATGGTATATGTTAGTGCTGAAACAATTTTAGAAACCTCATTACAATTCATTTGATTGTAATCAGAAAAGCTTAGCATTACGTTCACTCACTGAATTTTACTTGGGGTGCTTCACACACCAAGTGTTCGACTAATTACTTGAATACAAATGTTTGAGATGGTTTTCAATTTGGTTTATATTCCACAAGCATTGGAAATTATCCAACTTTAAGTGAACAAAATCTTATTGATTCGTGTTTAAACTATTGATTCAATTTCTCGTCTTTATCAATATTCCATATAGGCATAATGTATATCCGATCTTTTTGCTAACGGTTCGTTTAGACGATTGTAGTTCCTCGGCCACTTTGACTTAAAATTTTTAAAAATCAAATTATCTTAAGCGCCGATTCTGTTTAGAATAAGTGATCTATTTAACCCCCCTTCTAGATCATTTCTATCGTCTAGCAAGTGGTATCAGGAGCACCGGCTCATTCCGTGCTTTGTATATAACTTCTTAGAATATGGAAAATGAACCAAAATGGGCTTATTATAGAGCACCTGTTTATAATAGTGAGAACTATAGTTACTGGAAAGCTTGTATGCACGTGCATATAAATTCCATTGATAGAAAGGTATGGAACGTTATATTGAAAGGTCCTATGGAAATTACCATGACTGATGAAAATAAAGTTGTTGTGCCTAAGACTGAAGCACAATGGAATGATGAAGATGAGAAAAAGTACAATTACGATTGGAAGGCTAGAAATATTCTGATCTCCTCCTTGGGAGTTGATAAATATTATAGAGTTTCACATTGTATGACTACTAAAGCTATGTGGGACTCATTTCAAGTTTCCCATGAAGGAACTAATGACATCACACTAGCTAGAATCAACACTTTGACTCAAGAGTTTGATCTCTTTCACATGGAGCAAGGGAAAACCATTGCCGACATGTAAAAGATATTTTCTCACTTAATCATTATACTAAATTCACTTGGTAGACCAATTTTCAATAATGTTGCTACTAGCAAAGTTTTAGAATTAACTCTGAACAAGGTCTGAGACAATCCACAAGCTTGCTCTGACTCTGGAAAGAATACAAGTGCTGAAAGGGAAGTTTTAAATTTTCAAATATTAATTCATGAACACACAAAAGAAGTATCACAATTGGATTCAAAGCAAAACTCACAAACAAAGGTCACACAACAAAGTCATTCTTAAAGATAAAAAACATATCACAAAGGCACAAATGATCAAGCATCAACCCAATCAAACCCAAAGAAAAATTCAAGATATCCATCATGCTCAAAATCATGACAACAAACAAAAATTAAGAAGAATCAACCTCAATTAGAAGCACAAAAGTCAAACAAACATCTCACAAATCAATCACCAAAGGAAGACATGATCATGTAAAGCATATGAGATGAAGAGATCATGCAATGAACCCCTAATCATGAAAATAAGAACTTCAAACATATCATCGAGAACCTACAAGACTCATCAAACATCCATGAAACCATACTGTTAGAACACATATTGGTTCTTAAATATATCTCAATGTTTTGATGATAACAATAATGAAATTTTGTATGGAGAGAATAAATACTCTAATTTTGTTCAACTGTTTTTGTTTCAGATAACTTAATAAATATTCCCCTGAATGGAATATGCCTCTGAACGTTAAGCTATAGCTACAGAAAACTTTGAGCGCTTGGTAAGAAGCAAAGCTGCAGAAGGATCTGAGCATAGAGTAATAAGCGAAGCTACAGAAGACTCTAAGCGAAGATTCAGAAAACTCTGAGCGTACTAAACTCAACGCAGCAACTGCAGAGGCTCTGAAAATCAAATCAAGTAAGGCGCTGAAATGTTAGTAACCAGACTCTGATACATTTGGTTAACACATAAGAGAAAAGATCTGCTCTGATCTGAAGTGTTCCTCTGGATGAACAGTTTGTTCAAACAATCACGCTAGCACTAAGCTGTAGAGCTCTGAAAGTGAGTTACTCTGATAAGAAGAAGATGGAACATCATCAGAGGATCTAATGCAGAAGAAAATGGAACATCATTAGATGATCTGATGCAGTAAATATTTCCATATTCGTTCAATTCAAAAGATGTTGTTCAAGAAAGACTCGTTGCCTATTCCAACGACACTATTCCTACATCCAACGACACTATTCCTCTTTTGTGTATGGTACAGGATGTCAGAACAAAAAGGATATCTCTGAACATTCCTCTTCTGGAAAGGAACAATCAAAGAAAACAAAAAGCTGTGCATGCTATTTGAGAATTGTAAAGTATTTAAACAAGTTTTCAACAACAATTCAAAAAGAACCTAGACAACACATTATTCCAAAAAAAGTGAAAGCATCATTTTACAACGTACATACAACTTTTGCTGAAAAGAAAATAGAAAGTTTCATTGTTCTTTAATTTGTGTAAAATCACTGTTGTGAAATAGCTTATTCTAGAAGCACTTAAACAATTTTATTATTACTTTGTAACAGTTCCTTGAGAGACCAAGTTGTGGTCAGTATTCTTGAGAAGACTAAGACAAGTTTGTCATAGTGTAAACATTGTAATCAGTTTTTGATTATTGAATTAAGTCCTCGTTTGAGAGAGGCGAAATCACCTTAGCCGGGTGGACTGGAGTAGTTTGAGTTCAAATGAACCAGTATAAAAATACCTGTTATTTTTATTGCCTTATTTGCTTTTTAAAACCCTTATTCAACCCCCCCTTCTAAGTGTTTTTCCTACCTTCACATACAAGAAACAATCTCACAAGATTAGGTCAAGATATGCACAAACACATGATCAAATCAACAAGAACTTGATGCAACATCTAAAAATAGACACATGACTAAATAAAATCCAAATAAATGCCCAAACTCAAGTTAAGTCTATCAAGAATCAATGTGCCAAGGATCACAAAAAGAAAAGCAAGAGAGCATCATCAAATGCATCAATCAAGGCAAAGCGTACAATTTATCGAGCACATGTCGAAGGTCAAACAAAGTCAAATGAAAAATAATCAAGAACATATCACCAAGACCCCAAACCAACAGTCAAATACCCTACATGTGTGTGCCTAAGTGTATGTGAAAAATTGAACCAAAAATCAAAAGGAAATGGCTAAAATTGAAGTCAAGTTACAAGCTAGGTAAAAAAAACATTAAATCATAAATTCAAAATAAAATATTAAAATAAAATAAAAATAAGAATAAAAAATATGAAAAATTAAATAAGATGTTGGAAAGTCATAAACATATTTTTATGTATTTTAAAAAATGATTAAAAGTATTTAAAATCAAATCAAATAAAAAAATGCAAATCAAATCAAATCAGAAACATAATTCTAGTTTGAACTGGAATCTAGTTATACACACATATGATCCCAGAAATGGGGGTGTGAGTAACAAAACGTGCTAGCCCACCCATATGGATCAACAAATTAAACAAAAAATGAACATAAAATGAAATGCACCGTTCCACTTAAATGAGTCATTAGCCACATCAACAAATTCAACGCCACACATGCAAGTCAAAGCCTCATCACTCACACACAACAGCAAACCTGATAAACCACCGAAACCCTACTCCAATCGTCTTCTCCGGCCAGCCTCGCCGGAGAAGACTGAAAACTTGAATAAAAATAAAAACCTTGGACATGTTTTTAAAGGATTTTTCATGGAAATGATTATGGTACCTATGTTGGTACTAGTTTTGCTGATACTTCCTCTATCATGACGATGCTTCAGAATATGCAATTGAGTTAAGACGAGACGTATGTAGAGGATTGTAGAAGGCGATATATCTTTGAATCTGCTAAAGAAGGGAGATTGTTTCTACTACAATAACATATGTCTACTCAGGATTCCAACTTTGAGACTTTTGCTGCATATGTGGCGGAGAGTCTTATGTCTATATGGAGTGATATGAATGCTAATCATGACACTTTTATGGCAAGGATTAATCACTTGATCTCGGCCCAAGAAGAGGATTCTGGTTATTATGAACGGTTTTACCACAAGATATGTGAATTCTTGGATTATCACTATGGGTAATGACAATCAAGGATGGTTTAGGAGTATAAGACCGGTGCCTAGAGGACGTGGAAGAAGATAAAGTGATATTGGATGTATTATCGTGTTGCTGCTTTGTATTGTGTGTTTTGGTCTCATGTGTCATCATGCATTTTGTTGAGTCTTGCTTTGATTCATTATGCATTGCTTTTTTGTTTAGTTTGTTCTGATGTGGTTTATGTATTCCCAATGTTACTCACTTGTTTGAATTCAAGACAATGATTGTACTATGGTTATTTTATTGGATGATTAATGTGTAATATTGTTGTGTTTATTAATCTTGTGTGTTTTCATGTATGATGAGTATATGAGAGTGCACATCTTATATTTGCAAATTGCCTTTTTTTAAGAAAAGAATAGATATATTCAAAAAACAATCAAAGTACACGAGGATTGCTCGGATCCAGCCCAACAACAAAGACAAATTAAAACAAAACTACATCCAAGCCTACATCAACATATGAGATATATGGATTCTAAGCTTAGGTTGCATCCACCCTCTATAAACTATATTGTCAATGATATTACTAGTTACATGTGTACTATCCATATTATTTGCAAAGCAGACATTATTCCTATGCTGCCAAATACCATAAATCATTTCTGCAATGTCAATCATTAATAATCTTCCTTTCCAGTCCTTGCATTTGGTGTGCCTCATGATCCAATTTAATTCATCATACCATAATTGAGGTATATGATAATACTCCATCCAATGAAGCACATCTGACCAAATGATATTACTGCAACTACATTCGAAAAGGAGGTGATATATATTTTCCTCTTTATCAATACAAAGCTGACATTGGCTAGTCTGCAACATTCCCATCTTCAACAGCCTTGCCTTGGTAGCCAAATGACCACAGAAAGCTAGCCAAAGGGTGAGGATAGCTCTAGGGAGAGCACCATTGTGCCTTAACAAGTGACTCCAACTAACTCTAACCTGGTCATCAATAAAGACTTTATACACTGCCATCATAGAGAACTTCTTCTTTAATAAAGAATCATCCCAAAGCTGATGTACTTGATTGATAAGGTTTCTTCTGCTCAGGATATTTTTCATGATCCATGAACTATTAATTCTAATGTTAGAAGCCATCACGTCACTTCCTTTAAGATAATAGCTATAGATCCATTTGACCCAAAGATTATCAGACTTCAAGCAGATATTCCACAGACACTTAAGCATTGGCACAGTGTTCTAGGCATCAAGATTAATCATATTCAGGCCACCTTGAATCATAGGGCTATAAGCTTTATTCCAGGCCACAAGGCTCTTTTTACTAACCTCTAAGCTACCAGACCAGATAAAGGATCTACAAATGGAATTAATTTTCTTGATCACCATTTTGGGAATGGGAAAACAATGCATCCAATACTGCATAATTGCCAAAGAAATACTTTTGACCAATTGGATCCTACCTGTTATACTCAGAAGCTTGGTAGTCCAATTCTTTATCCTAATCACGATAAATATTTTCAAAGAGATCAAAATAATCAACCATCAATTATGATGTCTCATGTGAATGGAAGACTATTAAAGCCTTATATGTTTGTCTCAAAAGATACGATTGAAAGTTTGCTACAAAAAGATCTAAATAGAAACAAAAAGTCATTTCTTATTGCTTAGATTTTTTTAATCTTTCCTCACATAATCCAAACCAACCCAAATTGATGAAGAAATAGTTGATTTAATTTAGTTAAATCAAATGATATTTAAAAAAATATTATAAACAATATAAAACAGCAAAATATGTAATGACTATACAAAAAGAATACATGAATCAAATATGTTTCTAAAGACAAATTATTAATACATGATAAAATAAATAAATTATAGTTTTAAATTTAATTTGAATATTGAGTGAATAATTTTAAATAACATATACTCAAATCAATAGAGATCAGTCTTTTTGGTTTGACTTAGAAACTATATATTATAAAATTAATTTAATTGGTTTGGATTACCTCATCAAATTTATCAAGTGATTGATTTGGTTCACAAAACTTTAAAACATAATTTGTGTAACTCAAATATAATTAGAAACTATATATTATAAAATAAAAAAAGTCATAAGTGTGAGTGTAACTTTCTGTTAGATATATTTTGTATGATGTCAAAACTAGGATACTTTAGCGTTTATGTACATTAGATGGTATCTCTGAATCTAACTGTGCATTTTGCATTAAAAATCATGTCAACATGTTTGAAATAGTTTAAAAAATATTCAAGCATTAATAAATAGTTTCATGCATCAAAAATAAAGTTTTGTGTGTGAAAAACAGCTTATAGGTCGACAGATACGACTATAGGTCAACACAAAGAAGAAAATTTTCTTCTATAGGTCGACACACATGCTGCAGTACTAAAGCCTATATGCTTGGTCTATGTGGTGACTCATATAGGTCGACCTATAGACCAAAAATCTTGATATTTTGCATTATTTTCTATTCCTTTTGCTTATATATATATATATATATATATATATATATATATATATATATATATATATATATATATATATATATATATATATATATATATATATATATATATATATATATATATATATATATATATATATATATATATATATATATATATATATATATATATATATATATATATATATATATATATATATATATATATATATATATATATATATATATATATATATATATAATCATAAGCACTTGATACATGCATCATTTCTAGTAAAGTTCTAGAGTAAAATCTATATGAAACCAAAATTTCAAAGCATACTCATCATCTTTAACCTATCTTCTATGCATATACACAATCAAACTACACGTAATCATTTTTTGATTGGGTGACCATCTAGGTTAGGGTTGATAACTCTAATTTAGGTTGCTTGTACTGTAAATTAGGTTAAGTTCTTTGAGGGTTTCAAATAAGAAAACCGAGTTGGGGTTTTCCTCCAAGATCGTTAAAGGATTTGAAAGTTTTGTACAAGATTACATATTTTGTGTCCCGGTGAAGAATCGGAGACCATAGCTATTGGGTAGCTAGACTCTTAAAACTAGATGTCACCACCGATCTTTTCTTTTTCCAAGGGGAAGGGAAAAGAATGAATAAACTCAAAATAAACATGCAAAGCATAAAGCAAAGCTAAAAGCTAAGCAAGTAAGAGATCTAAAGTACAGGGGTTAGTTATACTAAGAGAAGGTACTAGCACCCTAAGTATCTATAATATCCTATAGGAACCTCTTAAATATTTATGTTAGGTTAAAAATGTTTGCTGAAAAAGATAGGAAGATGAGAAGAGAAGTATTTTTTTATTGTTTTTGTATTTGGCAAGAAATAAAGTCATGTGCCTACGTGCCAATGAAGGATCAAAACCTCGTAGTTTAGGGTACAAACAGAAAAGGGTTTGTTGTGATTGATTTTAATAAAGAAGGGACACGTTGTCATCTTAAGAAGAATACTCAACTAATCCACCATAAACATAGGGAAGATGGATCTTTGCTTCACAATGAGAGAAGGGCTCCAACATGGATATAAAATCAACAAGTATGCCTCATACCCCCCTCAAGTGGAAAAGAATCAACATCTTTCTCAACAATATTATGGGGTAGGAGATTTATATCTCAACTAGGGGTGACTCATGTCTAATCTCTTTTTGAGAAAAAAGGTTTTAAAGTGAAAAGTCAAGTGGCATAAAGTTTTGAATGTGGTTTGTGTGTTTTAGTGTTATGAAAATATTTGGATATGCTTAGGATGTATTGAAGTATTTATTAAATAAAAGAAATTTGAAAAAGGAAATGACCTAAGGTCAAGGTTTTTTATGAAAGAGGTTTGAGTTAGAAAAAGAGAGGCCTAATGGTAAACCATCTAAGGGTAAGCAATCTAAGGGTAAATAACCTAAGGATAAATAGTATAAGGATAAACAATAATAAAATTATGGGGGAAAGGTGCAAAGAAACATACTAGATATGAACATGACAACAAAGTCAACCATAATCCATTCCCTTGGATTCAACACAATCAACATAAAGATTCAATGGTCACAAGTATACATCAAGAAAAGTACGCATTATGAAGGTAATACTCAGAGGTCACAAGACAAGTCTCAAGTATCAAGCAAAGCTCATAAAAAATAACAACTCAAACTCAAGACAAGGCACCAACACATGTCAAAGATCATCATTCAAACAAACAAGCCAAGTCATTAAGTTTTCAAACTAAGATATCAAAATCAAGTGAACAATCATTCATGCATCTTAAATATAGCAAGATTTAGGTCAAGGCATAAACAATCTACATGGATACATCATCATCAAGCATCAAGCCTAAGGCATAGCCAAAAGTTAAGCAACCATCACATGAAAAATATACAAGTATTCATGTAGATTATCACAAAAAATAATACATAAGTCAAGCATCAACCCATCAAGAAGCCATAGCAAGCTAAAGAATAATACATAAGTCATGTGGTCATAATAACCAAATCAAAACAAATGAAACAAACTTTTTAGGTTTTTTTAATATAAGATAAAAATGATAAAGTGAATAGTTAAAAGATAAATAAAATATTTTTGGCCCTTTTAATATGTAAACATAATAAATACATTAAAAGGAAAAGAAAGAAATTAAAAAAACGAAATTAAAAAAAGGAAAGAAAGTGAGAAAAGAAGAGAAAAAAAGGTGAATAAAAAAGGAAGGGAGGGGGCGTTGGGTGTTGAACCCATACCCTTAGGGTTATCAACAAAACCCTCAACCAACTGCGCTGAGACCCATGACCTACAAGCAGTATGAAACAAAAACAAAAAAAATATGAAAAACAAATTTAAAAAGAAAATATGGCACGAAGAAGACTTCGTCTTCTACCTCTGGCCGGTCCAAAAACTTCAAAAATTTTAAAGCACGAATTTACCAAGTATGAACCAAAATGGATGAGTAAATATACAGTTTCACTCAGAATTCAACAAGGAATCAAAATATCATCTCAGTTTTTATTTATTTTTGCTCTACCTCATGAATTTGACTCAAAATCAGACAAACCCTAAACTTTTGAAATGAAATTAAATCATGTATAACATCAATGAATTTCCAATAACAGAGGGCTTTCACTCAAAATATCAATATGAACATTGTGGTAACAAGAATGAGTCTAAAAGGGACTTGCAAGTATGAGAACAAAAAACTAAAAATTTACCTAATGGGGTGAACTCGTGGTCCCTTGCAACGTGCTTACAGAAGTGAAATGAGTGTTCCCCTAGCTTCCTTGAATGTCTAAGAGTGTGAGGACGTGCTTAGAACTTCTTGGAACCCTCTCGATTACTCTCCCCAAATCGATTTGTAAAGGTGAAATGTGAGGTTTGGGATAGGGTGTTTGAATTATTACATTTTGGTTTTAGTGCATAAAAAGAGTTTGAGATAATGTTTGGAGGGTATTTTTGAAGGAAAAATGGAAGGAAAGTTCAGGAATTAGGGGATTTGAAATTTTTCTCTAATGGAGGTTTTTGAAGTTTTGATGTAATGCTCTCTTACTGTTCTTGCTTGTGTACTGATCTTGTGTGATTCAACTTGCTTATGAAGTGATTTTGAAATAGATTTGGAGCTAGCTTTTGATCAGATCCTTGGTTTGGAGCTTGCATTGTATGGGTCAAATCATAAAAGTAAAAAAAGTACCATATGTTATGGCTTGGACTTTGTCATGTAATGGACATATTAAGCTTTCATTATAGTCTTGTGCACTTGCTTTTGGGCATCAAAAACCAATTGGATCAGTATGACAACTTACATAGCAAGTTTTGACCAAAGTTTGTTTTACATAAAATTCCAAAAGTACAACTTCAGGGTGGACAATTTGGACAGGTTCTTGTCCTATGTGTAGGGGTCAATTTTGCATAAATATGGGATCCTTGTAAAGTTGGTACATAAAGGAACAAGTTTTATGTTCATGACAAATTGAGTAAAGGCTTGGAAAAGTTAGAAAAATGGATCCAAAATCGTGTGAAGTAAGCTGAATGACACTTAGTGAAATTTCGCTCAAACTTGCCCTTTGATCATCAATATGAATCCTCAACTTTGGCCTTCAATTTCTTCCATCTCAAGAAAGATTTTGGTCTCAAATTTTCCACCATGATGGAGTAGGAAGTATTTTTTTTAAATGAAGTCCTCAAGTGTTTCAATTATACTCTTAGATTGTTCACAAATTGGCC